AAATGACAAAACAAGAATACAGTTTGAAAGGGGAGTGCTTTGTAAAATATCCATAAAGAAAGATCAGTTTACAGTTCTGTTTCATATGGGTGTTGAGAGATGTATTCATGGATCTCTTAATTTTGCTCTCCAAGTGCACCAGATTGATGCTTTTAACTTCAACATTCAAAAAAATAAATCTTCCCGGGGGAGCATGCCCCCGGACCCCCCGAGAGGAGGTGAGGACTCCCCTAGATGATATTAGGTCCACGGTGTTTACATGCTTATTTATACAATATGTGTGCTTATGCTAACATCATAAGACAAAAGTTGGTTCCGTGTTGAGTGAAGTGAGAACGCGCTAGAGTGAGGGGGGCCCCCAAGCCAAAGCTTGCTTAGGGCCCCCAAAAGTCTAGGGCCGGCCCTGGAAGGAACAGTTAGCAGTAGAAGTCGCATGAAGATTTTTCAAGTCTGAAGAGTTTCTCGATTGACTTCATGTTAAAAATGTGATTATGGGATATATCTCTGGAATTATGAAAGTTATGAATGAGAAAGTAATAGCCATCGATTCCCGACGGAGCTGAATGTTTTGATGTTTGAACGGAGTTTCTGCGATGGGGAATGTGGGAGCAGAAGAGGTGCAAAATAACCCGGCGGAATAATAATAAAGAATTTTGTGCGTAGAAGAACAGATAGTTGGAATGCTGTATCAGCATTCCCACAAAATGATTCAGAAGCTGATGGTCTGCATCATCAACATTTGAATAATATAAACACTCATCACAAATCAGATCTGACAACATCATGGCTGAGCGTTGGCTTAGAAGATGCGAGATTGAGATCACAAGGGGGCTGATCCATTTGTTCATGTAATTTGTATCTGCCTGCCTATTTACACCAGATCTTGACACTATAAATGCTAACTAGAGCTTATCAGTCTTTCTTTGGTGTCTATAGATTCCGGACCATGGCTTTGAGAGAGGGACTCAGGCTGCCTTAGGCAATGAAACAAGAGTGGCAGTAGGCATCAGGGTCGAGCTGAATAATTCAGCCCCTGGATCACAGTACATTTTCATATTCATATTTTTACTGGCACATTAATCTGAGCAATCCTTGCCTCCTCTGCCTTAATGCATCTTCCTCTTCAGACCCTATAAATATCCAAATCAACTAATGACTCCTCTTGAGGAATTAAAAAGGCATCATTAGCCAGCACCTGAAGGTTGGGTCTGATGTACTGTAAGGACTCTGTTGATGCTGATTAGAAAAACAGTCTCAAGGGTTGATCTGTATCACAGCAGAGTCATATGTAATGAGCAAACCTGTCGCACATTTAATGTACAGCATTTCCCTGTTCACTATTGTAAAAACATGAATAGTGTTACATTAAAAATGTATTAGGCTTCATCGTCTTGCATTATTATGTTGGCACACTATTTTACACAATGTACATTGGCTCCCAGACCATCCAATAGACTGTAGAGGCACACAGTAAAGAATGTATAATGTACATTGAATGTCTTTTTATAGGGGGGCAGCTTTAAGACTGAGAAACTCTATGCATTCCTTGTGACTGACATTTACATTACAAACATTGCAGCTCTGTACAAGTAGAAATACTGACAAAAAAAGTCCATTAATTAAACTGTATAACATTACTTAACAATTTGACTTACACAGTACTAGAGAAAAGTCATATTTTCTGTGTGTCATGTATTTTCAGCTCTGTTGATGCGGTCAGCAGGAAAACAACAAATAGTGTATTTTTATTTTAGAGGTAATGAATCCAGGCCAGAGCACAAATTAGCACAGCAAATCCAACAATTTGGACTGAAGAAAAATGGCAGTAATTCTCAAAAGCTTTCTTAAAAAATATCCCCCCTCCCAAGATAAACTACCTTAGAGTGCTCTCTTTAATAAGGCTCTTTCTTTGATGATTTAACTCTCCTTTGAGTAAGGTAGACCAAGAGAGGGATACATTTTATCTACTTTATTCTCTAGCACAGCTGAGACTTATAATGCTTGTGCAATGGGCAACAGGTGCGCAAAAACAAAGTACGGAGGGGGAGAGGGGGGAGAAGGAGGGGCACCGGGGAAGCAGCAGAGATGACCCACATTGGTGTGACTCGTTATGAATTTGCAATGATGCTGCCAGGCTTGTTAGCACGCGGCTGGTGAGCGAGGGGTGATGGGAGATGCACAGTCGGCTATCTCCGATAACCTCTCTGCAATTCTATTACACTTGTTTATAGCTCTTGGCAAACGGCACACCAAAGATACTTTAGCTTCCGAGAGAAGGGCAGGGTTAAAGGGGGACGACTACTTAGCATTTCACAAGGAGACGGAGAGGGCATCCTGAGCAAAGTGAGCATGCAGGGGAAGTGGGGAAAGAGCAGATTGAAAGATACAGATAAATCTGGGCCGACTGTTCAAGTACTGACGCATGGTAATAGGACCGAATAAAACAAAACAACTCTATGGGACAGACATGGGATTAAATGTTATTATGGATTATGTTTTTTTGTTCTAATCTTTCTGTGAATTTGAACCTGTATGTCCTATCCCCAGCGTAATTTGAGAGGATTTGTCAAAATCTCCCTGATCGGCATGAATATTGAGAACGTTTTTGAGTGATATTTCCTGATCCCATTTCAAGCACTGTGCCAGTTTGAGAGTTGCAAACTGTCACAGCTAATGTAAATGCAGAATTAGAATGAATGAATAATACTTTCAACTGTAAATTAACAACTCTTGTCTCACACACACATACATACTATTCCCTGAGGGTCTTTCTATGTCTGTGACTGTACAAGTAACGATGATTGTAAGCTAAACTCACAGCACTCCAACATGTTTGGTTTAGGTGCTTTGAATTGACATAATGAAGTTATTCAAATGAATACTGGTCCACAGGATTGAATAGGTGTTCCATATAATACATTATGATCATGTGTGTAAATTATATCAACTGCACATGCATTATGGTGAACAAATCCTCAATTGAACTTTCACTTTACCTCAGTAGTCAAGAATAGTGCCGACCCTGAACCAACAACAAAGCTGGCACAATGTAATTTTAAATTATATTGCTGAATTATTTATACATATAGGTTGTGTAACCTTATATTGGAGATGCTTTGAATGACCTGAAGCTTTGAAATTTCTCTGCCATCCTTTCCCTTTATCTTCCTGATCAAAGGCTGGATTATGCTTTGACATGATGTACATTTTTCTACCAACTTCCACAGCACAAGATGAAGCCATTTTCTACCGTCGTTATGGATTACAAATTTCATAGTAGTTCATGCAGAAATACAAATGAATCCATCCATGCAGCGTAGAAGGAGTGCCACTGCAAACAATATGAACATATATACAGTGATTACCAGTATGTATTCTAGTCCAAAAGCAAACTAGTCTTACATGACAAAGGTCCAGTGTAAACATGTCAGATAATTCTGTAAGACCGTGAATTTATCAAACTATGTAATCAAACAAAGAATCATTTCTGGTGATTTAGTGGCACCAATGCACATTTGCTTTCTCTGAGGGAGAAGCTGCTCTTTTTTACACAATTTGTACTTTTGTATTAAACAGAAGTCTGCAATACATAGACGACACAGACGGGTTGGGGGTGGATGTGGGGATGGACTGGCATGTTTGAGTTAATGTAACAGCAACATGGATTTCCAGTACAAAAATAAATAAATGAACATGTAATACATCAACCTGTGGCAGATATTGATGTGAGAAGGTTGATGCATTCAAGTTTCTCACTGCATATGGCTTTCTATCCTTAGGGGAGTGGGAGCATTTATAATGGGAGCTGCAGCATGTCTGGCCATGCTAAGATCATTTCTATTTCCACTATATCCTCACAGCAGGAGATAACCGCAGTGACCCACAATACGCAGGACCAAACCATGGTGTCGGCCTCACTCCGATGTGTTCGGCTCAATATGCATGTTTATGATGTTTAGTTGTTGTTGATGGGAGCTGAATACTTCATACTGCTTTTCCATTAAAACTGTTGTGATGGAAAACCACTGTGAGTGTTTAAAGCAGCTACAGGAATTGTCAGATTAATTAGTGAGGTTATGGGGATCAAGTACAATATATTTCTAACTAACCTCTCTATATTTGTATTTTGTTGGGTCAGGTTTTCTGTATGTGTGGGTGTTTCTCAATGTCGAGGACGCTTCCTTGGTAGCACATGTACCTCTGAGTCAGATGCTTCAGAACGAGATTTTAGGGGGTGTTACGAAACCGTGCCTGGTTAAAGGTTTAGAAACCACCTTTAACGGCGAAAGTAAATTCCGCCCCGGAGCGTATCCTGCGGTGGTGTACAATCGGACAAGGTGGTAAGAAGTAAAAGGCTCGATCCTTTCCTAANTCTTTACGTGACGTCATCAGCTCGCGCATCGCAGAATGTAAACAACACTGTATAGAGTGAACGTGTGGAGCTCACACGATAGAGAAAACACCAAGATGAAAAAATCTAATCCATCTCATTTACCGACGAACATTTCTACTAAAGACCGGGCAAAAAGTGGGGGGAAACTATTCTGCACCCCGTGCAACTGTGTGTTGGAGCATAAGAGAAAATCGACGGGGACGACCCACTTTGATTCATTCAAACATTCGAAAATGCTTTCTGCTGCTGCGGACAAGAAAGCCAAACAACCCACGTTCAGCGAGGCCTCAACCTCCAAAACCCTTTCGAGGGCTACAAGAAACGAAGTGAGTAGCCTACAAGATTGAAGCCGGTCAGATGACGAACGAGTAAATGAAAACGGAATGAGGCGGAGAAGTGTGTGTGTGTGTGTGTGTGTGTGTGTGTGTGTGTGTGTAAGATTAAAAAAGCCCAATTGCTTTTACAATAAATAAACATTGAATGTGTTTAATTGAATAGTAAAGGGGTTTAATGTTAGTGGCAGTTTGTGTGTGAGAGAGAATAAATAAGACAGCCCGATATTTAAAAAAATTTTATTCTTTTTCCCCGCATATTTAGCATATTTCGCAACTTTCCGCATATTTCGCAACTTCCTGCAATTTCACCGCATAAAATCACATAAAAACCCCGCAAGTTTAATCGCGTGATCAAGGATTTTAGCCCGCATAATAAAGGATTTTTGCCCGCGTTTTTCTGGAGGGTCTACCATTCCCCCTCCACACTCGTTGGTTTGGAACGGCACTTAATGTGGCGGACCCTCCGCGCAAACGGAGGGGTAGTGTGTAGGGGTAGGGGGTAGGGGGTGGTTTGGAATTGGGCCACTGTGTGTCTCCAGGCCTCACAATACCTGTTGAAGTGGTACTGAGGTGTCAAATCTTCTTGTGACATTCCTGTAAGGGACATATGCTCATGTATGATACTGGTCCTAGCATCTTTAACAGATTTAGCACTTAGTATTGAAACAACCAAAAGGAAACTTATCAAAGCATTTTTGATATTCAAATGAGCATATATTTTCAACCTATGGCCATAGCTCCATTATTAGTAAGCTCCTATTAGTAATTGCTCATTTTAAATGCTTTTAAAATAGCCTTTTATTATCAACCTCCTACTATAAATATTTGTTATCAGACTAAACCTTCATGTCAGGTTATAGTCCACCGTGTGTGAATGATGTCAGAGGAAGGCGGGACTACCAGTGATTGCTTCAGTGCAGGCCTGACTCATCTCGAACAAGCCTTCAGATTGTAGAGGAGGAGGCGGGGAGGAAGGGTTGGTTGAGAACAGAACAGCCAATTGCTAAATGTAATTGCAATAGCATGGTTTCAACCAGTAGAGGGCAGTTGCTTTACATATTTATGTAGAATTCTTTATATTAAAATGTAGACCTGAATACTTCAACAACACTACTAAATACCAATATACATAGTTTTAAAAATAGGTATGTGCTTTGGTTTTGAGAGATTATGGGTGTTTCTCAATGTCGAGGAGGCTTGCTCTGTAGCACATGTACCTCTGAGTCAGATGCTTCAGAAGCGAGGCAAGAATCCTTCCTAGCCTCGGAAAATGAAGAATGGTGGAACAGGCTAACATGTGTGCGTCATATGCGAGGCCCCGCCTTAAATGAAGCGCAATTTCCACCAAAGATTTGGAAATTGGTCCGTGCGCAAAGCATTGTGGGGATTTTAAGAGCGCGGAGTCTACACATGTGCAGCCTCGAAATTTCTCGCTACGAAGTACGCCGGCCTCGCTGAGACTGCCAAGGCACACNGTCCGTGCGCAAAGCATTGTGGAGATTTTAAGGTTGCGGCGTCTACACATGCGCAGCCTCGAAATTTTACGCCGGCCTCGGTAGAAATCCAAGTATCCTGGACATTGGAACAGTCCTTCGGCGGGACTCGATGACGTAGTATCCTTGAAATAGTGGCTCTGGAGCAGCTTTCCTCGACATTGAGAAACACCCTATGAGAGTTTTTTATTGGTCATTGGACATGCACTTAAATGTCCTTCTGAAACTCTTTTCTGATGCAGGTTCACCACGGTGTGATGCCCTCCCACACCATGTACGCCCTGAACATGGAGCGCATCCTGTCGCGGCTCTGGCACCCGAGCCACGAGGAACTAGAGCAGGACCACGTCCACCGGCAGCGCCTCGCCGCCAAGGAGGGCCTGCTGGTCTGCTGAGAGCCTCTGACAGGACTGTGTGTGAACTGTGGGTGTCATCAGGAACCAAACACATTGAATCCCATCATGGAAATGAATGGGAAACATTGTCATTTTTTGTACAATACCTGGAAAATCACATCCCTGTTGCACAAAGGGATGAAGCAAGATTCGAGCAAGATGAAACAAAACCTGTTGGACAGTGGACACAGATTTGGTCTAGCAAATTATTTTTCCTTTGTTCTTCCAGCCATATTGGCAGTTAACCATCATTTGAAACAGTTTTATAGTGAGAAACTGATTCTGTGGAAAATGTAGGATCTTCCATCGGCTACAAGCAGTGTTAATGACTTGGAGCACCACAACGTAGGCCTGTCACGATAAATACTTTGTTGGATGATATATTTTCCCGGAGATAATTCCAAAAACTGATGCAACTGAATAATTCATGCCACTGATATAATATTATAACATAATGCTTCCGAAAGCCAAAACATTTTTTAAATATATTCAGGCATCAGAAGGTGAACAAATATTTAAATATTATGAATAAATGAAAGAATATTAAACAAAAAACGCTCAACCACGTACTACGTCAAATAGGCCTAATGAGCAATTTCTGCGTTATTGAAAACAAACGTGCATGTAAACAATACCGGCAACATCAAAGCACTAGCAAAAATGATCAAACTAATTTCAGAATATCTTACGACAAGTCCATAACGGTAATATTATTGAGGTCTTAAACATATATTGTTTGTCTAATAATATGTCGACGATTACATAATTATCATGACAGGCCTACAAATACCGTTAGAATATGTCATTTCAAACAAACCACACTCAAGCTTTGTTTACATCAGGTAAAAACATAAAAAAATATATATGTACATTACACACAGCTGTTTCACTTGTTTTGGATGATTAGGCCTCATCTCAGGTTAAAGTGGGAGACAGCGCTTTGATGAGAGTAAGGTGAGGTCCCCTGACTCGATGCACCAATTGGAACGATGCAAATTTCAATTGTTCCGCCTTAACAGGTATGTCAATCAAGCGCTGTCAGCACAGGATTATTGGAGAGGTCTAATCGAGACATAAGTGAAAACACCTGGGTAGCTTCATTGTGGTTGTGTGGGGCTCTTAAAGGGGAATACTGCATAGATTTACATTTCCATATTTTTTTTTTTTTCTACAGCCAAGGAAAATGGTATTAATATTCATCAACATGAGCTACTTTCTCAAAGCCAGAAGGGTAAATCTCAAGCCTGGTGATGTCATCAGGTGGATGATGTCATCAAGGATACATTCTAGTCACTCCATAGGAAATGAATAGGAGACTGGTTTTCTGGACCCATTCAATGTTTATTTTATTTAAAAAATAGTTTAATTCTATCGTACTGTTCTCAGTTGTGAAACAGAAAATGTCCATTGGGTGCTCCTAATGTGTCTATAACATCTTCCACAATTCATTTTCCATGGAGCATGTTTACTAATATTTGTTGACTGTTAGATCAGAAGAATAACGGGTATGCATTTTGTAAATGGGTGTAGTTCCTCTTTAAAATGCCCCTTTTTGTCATAACACTCACCCCTCATGAATACACTTTTTTTTTTAAATGTCTTTAAAGTATTCCTAGAGCATTTACTGGTGTCTGGTTTAAAGGTCTGTGTGCATCCATCAGTGTTGGTCCACAATTTGTATGCAGATTAAGCTACATTTATTTTGTTATTTCAGTGCACTTGAAGATGTCTTATTGCCATGTTAGTGGGCAGCATCTAGTTCAGGTTGTATATACATTTGTACATCTTTATTTTCTACTAAAACCTTATTTTGTAACTCAACTACAGTGCAGAACATAAATAAATCTCATTTTTGTACAAGTAGTTTATAAATTGAGAATATTCCTTGCGTTAAAATACTTATTGTGTTCCTCGTACTACTAGAGCTTGTAAACAATTGTGCTTATGCTTAGGGTCCTCGGCAGCTGTAGTGGTAGGACGGTGAGTCACCCGTCCCAGTGCGCATTGTGAAGTCCTCTTGCCATATATGGCCTACTGCTGCTCACTTCCGACACCTCACCGTCCAATGAGCGGCCGAGTAGCTTCACCAGCCATTACACTGCACTGGTGACTCAATATCCCGTCCGCCCCAGTTCCTTCAATAACAAACACCTCTTGTAAATGCATTAACACACATTGAAGAGTAGATTATTCAGATAACACACATCACGCGTGTCCAACATTTTATTTCGTCCTATTTACATTTCTGAAGTGCTCAAAAGACAGCGTACAAATATTATTACAAAGTGTTATTTCGGGTCTAACATTAGTTACACCTATATCACAAAGTTGTATGAACATAAAGGTTAAGAAAGTAAGGCAGTTTTTCAGTCGACGCTACACACACCTATAAGAGTCCTTGCTAAAAGGTGTTTGACATGTTTTTGTTAGTGTTACTCTGTACATAATGTAGAGTCGCTGGTGGGATGCTCAGTGCTTGACTCGATAAGCTGCTACTTGAAAGGCGACAGTTCGTTCACATTGTCCATCTGCAGTTTGAACGAAAGACAGCCTCTGGGTGTCTGTGCATGGGACTTAAAACATTTTAAATGAGCTTAAAGTATTGCCACGTTACCTTGGCTTGACTGAATACAAATATCATTTAGTTTTGAGTGAACATTTTTAAAAAATGACAGAAATATCTAACAAGTCACATCAGAGTATAAGCTCTGTCCGTATTTGCTCTGTAGTAATTCATAATCGCACTGACCATTCACAAAAATTGTCAGTCTGTATAGTCTGCAGAAACTTAGTGGATTCAGCCTGAGTGGAAAATGTGTTGGAGAAATTAGCTGAGGCCACTCTAAGCTGCATTTGGTCCCCAAGAAATGTCCCTTGGATCTTTTCCCCTTGGCAGTCTAGTACGCTTGGAGCTGCTGCGTCAGAATAAGCTGGCAGCCGCTGTTGACGTGGTCCATGACCTTTTGCTTGAGCAGAGCCAGCTCGTCCCGGAGCACGTTAGCAGAGGAAACCAACTCTGTGTTTTGGTTCTTCAGGTTTTTCACCCTGTCCTCCAGCCGGGAGATTCTCTCCAGCTTCCTTTTCCGGCACTTGGACGCGGCCACCCTGTTCCTCATGCGCTTCCTCTCCGCTTTGATGCGCTCCTGGTTCTCCATGTTGATGGGGGAGAGCGGCGGGGTGTCGCCGGACATCTCGGGCACCGTCTGCGGCTCCTCTTTGAGTGCGGAGAGCCGCGCCGCCGCCCGGTGGTGGTGGTCCATGTGGTTGTGGGACGGGTAACTTAAAGGGGGGTGCCTCTCGCTGGAAGCAGGTGTAGACGCAGAGCCCACAGCCCGGCCGAAAGCCCCTAAGTTTGTGTACTCTGGTGGGTCGCTGCGCACCGTGCAGCTGTAGGGAACCCCGCCGCTCTCGGACGCAGCAGAGCCGGACACCATGCTGTTATTAGCGCCGGTCTGAGCGTCAGGGTGTCCAGCGGGGGGCTGCTGGTGGTAGTGGAGCTCAGCCAGTGCTCTCACAAACCCCTCCGCGAACCCCTCCTGCTCGTCAGTGATGTTCTTGGAACATACGAACTGAGTTGGGGTGGGAGTAGTGAGCCCGGTGCAAGACTGTATGATCAGTCTCTCCAGTTCAGGCGAGGCCAGCTTCAGTAAACCCACGTCCGGGGACGTCAGGATGTCCAGGGCCTTGGCGCTCAGCTGGGGCTTGAAGTTTTTCGGGTCGTTCAGGTTTAGCGTCATGGTCTGTTTCAGGGTTTTAGGGTTGAAGCCATACACCGTGGGCCCGTCATGGTGGGAGCTGGAGGCATTCACTGCTTCGTCGTAGAACGTCGCTTCCATTTTCCTTGACATAAAGTTTCTAAATGTAAACAACTGAAGGGAGGTCTATTCTCCTTTTTAAATAACAGTCGACTGTTCACATGTGTCCTGTGACTCCCTATCTCTCGACTGTCTTGTGATAGTGTCCGCCTATTGTTGAAGTTCAACTCACTTTGACAACTTCGTGTCCTGAGAAAACTTTCCTCTCGTGAGCCGCGCGCTCAACGACAAAAAGGGTTGTTCCCCCGCTCGAGCCTTCCGTGTTTTCACACCTGAAAATATCCGCTTTGATTGTTTCTCCTTCCCAATAAGCACAAACGGTCCTGAATAGGGATAATACTTTCTATCACTTCCAACGTGGAGACGAACTTTATCCACCTCTAAGCTGCAGCTCTACTGAAAATAACAATGATGTCATTTCTACGGCCTCTGATTGGCTGGAGACGGTAATGTGGGTGGGGTATGTCTAATGACATGCAGGTTGCTCTGACAACTAGCCATATCTCCGCCCCCCGCGGTGGCTTCTGGGATTAGGTAATGCAGTCGGTGGAGCAATGTACTCTGGGATTACGTAGTGCTTTTGAATATTTAGTTACCCGCTCAATTATTAGTTACCCAGCATCGTGAAGTGAGGGCTTTACCTTGAAAAACACACAGCAGAAAATCCATGTTCCTACATCATATGTTTCTGATAAGAAACGTCAAATTCTACAAATCATTAGATAAGAAAAAGGGTAAATTCCGTATCAAAGTCCATTGTCTATATAGGCTATAGCTAAATCTAGTTATGAATAAAAAATGAGTGCTGTTGGCTGTTAAAGTAGTTAGGGGTTAGGGATGGAAGAAAGAAAATTAGGTCACACCTGCAACAAGAGCTCTTTTGTTGTTTTAACAACGCATTTATTAAAATATATCCTTCCTATAAGCTTGGAGGACGATCTGTGTTAAGAAAGCACAATTTACTTTATTTGCCCAATTTTACATACTAGCCTATAAGAAATATGACAATCTTTTCCGTACCTCTCAATACACTAAACAAACGCACAGTAGCCTATACAGAAATATATATAAAATCAACTAAAATACACTCCATAACCTATATAAACTGAACTGCTCCTGTAAACTGTACTGTATTATATCATGTTGTAGTATAATTTACCACTGCAAGGAGATTGATTCATATTTATTTACAGGTCTAAATATTTAGCCAAATTCAATCAATCTTTATTTAGAATTTGAGGAAAAATGTAGGGAATGCAACATTTTCTATGTAGAGACCAGTGGCGTAGCTGTGGGTGGGCCCGGGTGGGCCTGGGCCCACCCACATGCACGTCTGGCCCAACCACAGCCAATCAGCGCTTCATAGCGCAGAGCCGGGAAGCCCAGAAGGAAGTGCCACAAACTGCAGTTCATCTAGTGGCCGACAGGGGATGGATGCAGAAAGGAGCAATTCCCATAGACCCCCATGTTAAAATGCCCAACTTTACAGCAGAAATAAACATGTTTCTAGCCTGGATCCAATAAAACTTATTCTGGATATAGTCAGATTCCACCTTCATGACAATGGAACAGGGAGTGCATTTTTTTACCGTGAGTTTTTATAGTAAGTAAAGTAACTTTTGCCGTGAGTGAATGAAAGTATTATTTCTTCTTGAAGTCTGCAGTTTAGCGTGTACACATTTGCTGAATATGAGTGTGTGCCCATGTGCGACTGTCAAGGATAAACAACCTGTGGCCGCCGATATATATATATGTCATATGTATTATTGCTACACAAACATTACATTGCAGTTGTAGTGTCGCCAACTCCGTTTCTAATATGCAAAAAGACAGCAAAATGCTTCTGATTATTTTTAGTATTTTAGATCTTTCCAGACGAGAGATCTCTCTCCCCCGTCTGTGTGCGAGGGGGCGGGGCGGTTTACACACACGCAGCTGCTACATGCAACACACACACACACACACGGAGGAGATGGCGGAGAGAACGCGCTCCGAGGTGTGGTTAAACTATAGCCGTGTCGATGTGGACAATGCTCGTTACCAAAAGTCAGTGCAATAAGAGTTTAGCATGTAAGGGCGGTAACACAAGCAATTTGTCAAAACATTTAGCTAAAGTGCACCACATTCAGACGGAGAAATGCACCGGGTTCGACTGTCTTTCTAGTAGCTCTGTAGCCACATCCACGAGTAACGTTTCCACGTCAGGTGTTATGTATGCTAGCAGCAACACACAGAGTTAACTACATTATACAAACATGGGTTTAATGGAGGTAACTTGTTTTGTTAAAGTTTCATAATTCTGTTTACAGTTCTGTCTTCAGATTATTTAATACGATTTGTTAAAACATTGTTGTTTCTTTTGATGTGAAATATTATGTATTTAATTTAAATAAAAGGCAATGTTAGTTTTGTTCACAATTTGTTTAGTAAGTTTACCTTATTATTTTTTTGAAAAGAACCGATAAAAGTACCGTTAAACTAAAAGGACCGGATCGATAAGCGCTATCGACAAAAGTTAAAACCTTAACGATACCCATCCCTGTCAGTTGTACACACATTCTGAGGCCGCTGTGCCTATGTTTTTATTTTCACTGCTAATTTATGCTTATGTTCTATTAGTGAATTAAAAAATCATTAATGAAGTTTCAGCTCAGACCCCACGCTTAGTCTCCCCCTGGCCCACCTGCATTTCTCCAGGCCCACCCACACAATAATTCCTGGCTACGCCACTGGTAGAGACAATAACAATTAACCAGGTGACAACACATTGAAAACAGAACACACATTAAACAGATAGCCTACATTCAATAGCGTAGTAGTTTGTGATCATGGTTTTAAAATGACCAAGATACAATCGTGTTAAGATTTTATGGTGTTGTAAATTGTGTAGCACAACAACTGAAAGCAATTTTTTCACATTAAAATAAGTATTCTAGAGGTAAGACCGATATAATACAGTCCACTATGATTACAAGTCACTATAAGGAGTCACTGCTTTAATTCAAGTGGAAAAAACATCATTACATCTAAAAGGTTAGAGTGAGTGAACAGCAAATATTGCAAAACTTGACCTAATGAGTTGGTGGTGGTTTATAATTTTGTCATGATTATTGTAACAACGAGTTATGTACATTTATGATTGCTTTTTAATATAATTTTAAAGTTGTAAAAGCTTTGAATGAATGGATCAATTCAACTCATTGCATTTGTTGTTTATTGAAAATATCATGATATTAGCTTTTAATTACAAAAAAACGCTTTTGTTTAAGGTCCATTTGATCTTTGCTATACTTATTAAAGCTGCATCATAGCCTTCCTGTGCAGAAAATATATATGAATAGTTATGTGGTTGAATCTCATAGGTTAACTAACGTGAAGCTGCACTAATGACTGAAGGTCTCTACAGCTGCAGTCCAGTCCGTCTGGCCTCCCCCATTGTATTATTCAACATGTTCTCCTCAAGCCAACTATAAATAAGTTAACAGCTCCAGACAGCCTGGGAGAACCAGAGCTGCCTGAGGTCAACGCTCTCCAGATGACATGCTGTCCTCACAACACGGCTATGCAACACCCATTTGGAAGTATTTGACACCCTGGAGTAGAAATCCAGAGCTGGAATTCTTCAGAAACTTTTGTGTCAAATACCACAGCTGTAATGAAGGCAAAGAAACAAGGCCTACATATTTTCATTCTTCTACACTATTCTTGTAACATGACAGATCTACGGAGGAGTATAAGGGCCAGGCATCAGAGAGACAAAATGAGGAGTAAATATTTGTATATTTCTGGGGCTTTCAGTATGTTTGCCACTGCCAGGCATGAACTAAGTACATTAAGGATGATGTTCTTTTATAGGGGGGTGCATTTCCAGGAGTAAAGCCAAAATCATGAGTTCAAAAACCTTTTTCAGAACAAAGTCCAAATGTTTAGAAAATTGTTAAAAGAGAAATAATGTTTTAGAATTTTGAGAACGAAGTTGAAATACAATTTCAGGAACATAGTTGAAATGTTGTGAATGAAGTGAAGATGCTGAAAAAAAGGATGAGATGTGAATACAGTCAAGATGTCCAGAAAAAAGTTGCTAGTTGAGAACAAGGTCGAAATGTCGAGAATAAAGATGAAATGTTGAGAATAATGTTTGGAAATATTAACAATTAAGTCTAAATGAAGAAAGTTGAAATGTCCAGAATAAAGTCAAGACGCTGAGAATAAATTGGAGATGTGAAACTATAGCATTAGCACCTAAACTGAAAGTCTGACTTCATTCTGGACATTCCAAACAAAAATCTCCTCTCATTCACTTCCCTTATGCCTGGCCTTTATACTCCTACATACAAGGCAGCTTCCAATATAACAATAACTAATCTGCACCCGCTCTGTGTCTCTCTGAACACCTGGCCCACTGAGGACTATTTCCCTATAGAAGCGCCGCTGTTCCCCTGCTGTGTCCTAGCTGTGTCCCGGCTATCCTTCCTGTCTCTCGGTCAGTTTGTTCCCTTCTGCTGGCCTGATGGGGTCGCTTTTAGATAACAGCGTTTCCTCCTCCCTGCCCGGGCCAGCTGTTTCCACTGCATGCAGCTTTCTAATCAGTAGTTTGTCCTGTCTTCCTCCCAACAGGCCTGCTTTTGTTGCAATGAGGTGGGACAGTCCAGGGTCCTTGGTAACATCCCCACCTTTTCATGAGAGCAAAAACACAGAGAAAGACTATATGCATGTGTTGATGTACTATCAGCGAAAAGTGTTGGTTAGGCCTGGAGCAGAGACACCACACACACACACACACACACACACACACACACACAGAGAGAGAGACAGATTTCAAACACTGTCCGCACAGTGTTTGTTGAAGACCATCTGTTTCTTCCTGTCCTGCTGCTTGGTTTTCCTCTGTACACCATCTCTGCTGATGATTCCAGGTCAAAATCAAAACACGCTATTCACAGCCAGCAACACTTCCTTTAGACAGCTGTTGATCTCCTCAACAAAAACATAATAGGGGAAAGTGACCAGGCGTGATGCACACAGGAACGTTTGACAATTCTTGGTCAAAGCTAATGTTTTTGATGGCAGGTTAATGTCTATGCCCTTTGGCAACAAAGCCCTGTTGAGGCCCTGAGAATACACACTATGGTAGAATGGCCTGCTCTGTTCGCCAGATGTGCCTTTTCGGAAATGATTGGTCTGCTACCATTATCCCGCAGAATATTAGAAAAAGTGCCAGACAAAACTCTTCGCTTACTAAATGGTCATGTGTGTGTTCTGCAACTTAAGCATGGACTTTGTTTCATAAAGTGTCAGAGAAAAGTTGTAGGAAGTGCTTTAAAATGTTTGTGATCAATCAATTTGTTGCCCCAGTATCCTCCCATCAGGCAATAAATAATGTTATTCAATGTTAATGAATGAAACGCTTGAAAATGAAATAGGTTTTTTCAGTGTTATTTTAAACAATTTTCAGTGTTATTTTATACCATATGATATGTCATGCTATCTCCCATAGTAGTCAGAAATGTAGCATACTTTGTCTACTCTAGAAGATTCAGACTGGTGTTTGTGTTGGAGAGTGAAATGTCCGTTGCCGATTAGTCTTCTCAAAAGTTGGACGACACAAACAAAACATATCAAGGGAAGGACATGAAGACTATAACGGCATAATAATTACTATTATTATAATGATTAAAAACGACCATACACCAGGGCGGTTATATGATGTGTTTCGGACTTTACACGGCTCAGTGATATTGCTCATCGCAAAATCGAATTTGCTCTTTTTGGTCTTTTTCGCTTTCCGTCGCAGCCACAGATTCCAGCACAAAGTACGGTTTTCAGAAACTCAAAAGTGGTGTTTTATATTGTGTTCTTCGCTGAAATTACATTTTAATCCGCCGGTAAGTTCAGAGTTGTGTTCGTGGTGATGTAAAAACGTCACACCTGTTTTACATATTCTGTTGTGTGCATTGAGAAGTTATTCTGTGCAAATGATTGGTAGAAAATCTCTGTTGCTGCAGCGATATCAGATCAAGTTGGACAGTGTCTGATTCTCAGAAACATACACATTTAACAGTAATGTACTCTGTATGCGTTGATATCTCTGCTTACTTCTATCTATTTCGAAACCGTCCATTTATTGTTGACTTTGACAATGTAACCTGGTTAATAATCAACCCTGGGGTCCTCTGCTCTCCCCCCTCTTTGCATGCAGCTGCTGTCCTCATGGCAGAGGTGTACTATGTGGGGGTGGATGTGGGCACTGCCAGTGTGAGGGCGGCTCTGGTCACCAGGGCAGGCCGGGTGGAGAGCACCGCAGAGCAGCCCATCAGCATCTGGGAGCCCCTCACCGACCACTATGTGCAGTCCTCCACTGAAATCTGGGACAAATGCTGCACTGCTGTCAAGGTAGGCTGACCTCGGAGAAGCCCCCTCCCCAAAATGTGTTCTGTAGTTGTACTGTGATGTAGGCTAACACAACATAAAAGGGATATTTTTTTTATATTTCAAGGTTGGTTTTGTTTATTTTTGCATTCACATTAACCTTGGTACTAAGACTGGGGAGCTGGAACCTTCAACTATTTATCCATTTCTATCAATTAAGTTACTTTAAGTGTATTTCGATAATGTATACTTTACTTTTAGCTAATTTAGAAAATATTTAAATGGCAAATGGTTAGCTAAAATAACTTCCTATTTGAACCGTTTATTCTTGACCCTTACCTAATTATTCATATGTTTATCCATAACTTTAAGCTAACATTTTATCTTTTTATCCAGTACATTTAGCTAATATCTAAACTGTTTATTAAGTTCTTTAACCTAAAATTGTAACTAGTTTTCGTCATTACGTTTAGCTAATATTTCAATTTTTGTATCCATTACTTTAAAGGTCCCATGTCATGCTTTTCCGGTTATTACCCTTCCCCTTGTGTGTTAGGTAGCTTTTTATGCATGTAAACGGTCTGCAGAGTCACAAACCCTCAAAGTACACCCTGTAGCGAGTAAAACTCTCACAGAAAAGACCTGTCTATGCTGCCCCAAAACGCTTTGGAGGTTTTTCTTTTTCCATTTTTTTCTTCCGGGAACCAAGTGACGTAACGACGATCCAAATGGACCAATCCGTGGAGCTCCTCACACACACACACACACACACACACACACACACACACACACACACACACACACACACACACACACACACATACTCACTCAGCCGTATCTTTTCTCAGCCACGATACTCCGCAGAGTTTCGCTGGGACACACTCAACCTTATCTTTTCTCAGCCGCAGCTGCGTGGATCTCCTCTCACAGTTCGCCACACTCTCACGTGTGTGTGCTCAGGCTGAGTTCAGGCTGAGTTCCTCTGTGTCTCGCTGTCTCGCAGACCCCACGCAGCAACCAGGAAACGGCACCAGTAATACAGCTCACACTGTCGGCTCCTCAAGTCTCAAAGGGCGGAGTAGCGAGCCCCGCAACGTCCCGCCAACGCGGCACCCAGACCCCACTTAGCATTTTCATCTGTTTGTCATTACTGGTGTCATTTGGTATCTGGTTGCTAACAAACGCCATTGTGACACATAAACACACATCAGAGCACAGTGGGCTCATAGGGATCGGGGGGGCAGGAGCTCCAACAAGGCGTGTAGGACAGAGAGTGAATACACATACTATACAGAGATGCTGTATGAGAAAACCAATGCGATTAAAATCTATTCTAGTATGCCTCAACAATGGAATTATGATCAGTAGAAATGGCCATGACATTGGACCTTTTAAGCTAATATTTCAGCTATTTATTAATTCCTCAATGGCAGCCTATGGCTTTAAGTTTAATTGGTGGGAGGTGTGTTTGTACAGGGAGCATAGTTTTTTAAAAACACGTCTTTTCTCTTTTTAATCTTAATTCCTTTTTCCAAATCATATGTTCTGTAAAAATAGTTCTCCTGCTTAACAGTCCAAATATTCCCTGGCAACCGTAAAGGTAGTCTATTAGTTACAAGTTCATATGGTTGGAGTTCATTGTTATTGTGTCGCAAACATTTGTTAAACTACTAGCTAATGTATTCATACATGTCCTCCTACAGTCACACCACAGGCATTTAGGTGTTAAAGCATAATATCATATCTTTTATATTTGTTCCAGAGAGTTACCCAAGGTGTGGAAAGGAGTCAGGTACGAGGGATCGGCTTTGATGCCACCTGCTCTCTCGTGGTTTTGGACCAAAGCTTCCAGCCTGTGCCAGTCAGTCAGGATGGTGAGTGAAACATTAGTTTTACTCTTACAGTCTGACCTTTAGTCTGTAGCCCACATAGCACCAGAGGTGGGAAGTAACTATGTTCATTTACTCAAGTACTGTAACAAGTAAATGTTGAGATACTTGTGCTGAACTTGAGTATTTCACTTTCTTGCTCCTTTGTACTTCTACTCCACTGAAATTCAGATGTCAATGGTGTACTTGCACTCCACTACATGTATTTAATACCTTTAGTTACTTTACAGATTTGTATTAATGATGTGAAATATAATCAACACTTAAATCAGACTTTACTTACACCTGGAGTAAATTCAATAATAATCAAAACATATAATATATATTATTCTGAAATGGACCAATTTGCAGTATGACTAATTTGACTTTTGGTACTTTAAGTATATTTTGATGCCAATGCTTTTGCACTTTTGTTTGAGTGATTGCAGGACTTTTACTTGTAACAAAGTATTCCTACACTCTGGTACTTCTACTTTTACTCAAGTACAAGATCTGAGTACGTCTCCCACCTCTGCATAGCACTCATATGTTTTGCTCCAGGAAAACATCATGTATAATAGGCGTGAGATGAAATTAAGATTTCCTGACCAAAATAACCATTACTGATAATTTCCTAATCTTAAACTCTTAAAAACGACACTATGCATACTGGAGTCACTTTGTGTTCAGAAACAATTTTTTTACTTAAAAGATATAAAATGATAGGACACTTTTTTATTTTGTGTAAAACAATCAGTCTTAAATAAGTTGATTATAAACTATAACGCCCCTTGGATAAATAAAAGTTAGCAGCATTCTGCAAAAATAGCAGCACTGTGAGTCTGTTCTGTATTACATGATCAGTAGTGTTTTCTTAATTTGGATCAATTTCTCACTTCTGTACCATGAGCTAGACAACACTGAGGTGAGGATATTAAAGATTTATCCTGACGAGATCAATTTCTTTTGAGGTTTTTGAATTGTGATCCTTTATTGCCTGTATACAGCTACACTTAGAACAATATATTGGATTGTTAAGTTTGAAATGAATTTTGTTTTTTTAAATGATGAATGTATTTTGTTTTAACTAGAATGGATTTTCTTTATAGAGTTTGTCGTGAAACCTTTCAGTTGTTGAGTTTAACTTGTGCAAGTTGTTTTAATTAATGTAATGGGATAGCTTATTGATCCCTGAAGGTAAAGCCCCTCCTCCACAGCAAGGTCAGAGGTCAGGGTCAGCGACAGAACAGATCCCCAGTTCTGAGTTGGTCATTATTCATGTATTGGTTTTTTTCACTTAAGGAAGATGGAGCAGGACATGACCCAGGTAGACAGGTTAAATTATTGATTATATTTAGATATTACAAATATATCACAACAGAATTGCTTATCATCCACTAATATCCACATATTTAATATTATAATTTCATCTGTAATATTCAGTGTATTAAGTATAAACTAGGAATTAATGCTTATGGCAAAATCCTAATCAGGATTATTTAACATCATTGCTTGCTGACTTTGGAAACATTATGCATTTTTTTGTATTTCTTTGTAATTATTATTATTTAATTATAATTTAGTACAAAAAAATATTTAAAATAATTTAAAAACATTATAATATATTACAGAATATATAAAATAAATATAGTTTCACATTTAAAATCATAATATTAAGTTAACGCATTCAAATAAATTAAATTAACTACAGTATGTTGTCACTGAAAACAAATAAACATTAAAGACGTAAGATACATATATTTTAAATAAGTGAGACCAATACAAATTAGATCACTAATTCCACAAAGTACTGAAAACTACAACATATATTCCGTTTTTTTTACTCTCAGTATTACTAAGAGTCAAATGTGCAACGCTGTAACATAGGATTTAGAACACAAGACAAACCGTGAAATGTAAAGATGGCACAATAGCCGTTTCATCTCAATAATCTTGCTTTCATAACTATTTGAAACCAAATTTAAAAAAAAAAAGATTAGATTTCATCACCATGTTGTAGTATGAGCTGTTATTTTGCATATCTTATTTCCGTTTTGCTTTCACTAAAACTGATCTCCCCTTCCTCTCTTCCCCAGGTGACCCACAGAGGAACGTGGTGATGTGGATGGACCATCGCGCTGCAGAGCAGGCCGCTCGTATAACCAGCGCCGGCCACGGGGTCCTCAGCAGGGTGGGGGGGGTCATGTCGCCAGAGATGCAACCCCCCAAGCTGCTGTGGCTCAAAGAGGTGAGAGGTGAGCGAGGTCACCACAGGCGCCCTGATCTCTGTTTTACTGTCGCGGTCTGTGTGAGCTGCTCAGCATGTGTGTGCTTTTGTTTTAGTATTTTTTTATCTTGGGAAGCTTCCTGAATTGTTTGGTTGTTGAACTCACGCTGCCATTACTTACTGATCAGGCCTTCTGAAAAAAACAATTTCTCCTTTCAGAATCTAAGAGAACGCTGCTGGAACCAAGCTTCTCACTTTTTGGACCTTCCAGACTTCCTGTCCTGGAAAGCGACTGGCTCTTTGACACGGTGAGCTTCTTTATTGGATGATAGTCATTAATACTATCTGATCGTTAAAGCCTGTTCTGTTCATTGTGTAATATGTGTTTAAAACATGCAATTCAGAGTGGAATTCAAAGACTTGACTACAGTATTATAATAGTGATTGAAAAAAACTGTTGACTGAGACGAGGTTACCGAAACTTAAATTGTGTTGGCAATGCGTTTGAAGTCACCAGAAATAAAGGCTCCCAACTTTTGCCCCTCTCTGTAACAAAAACAAACGACTGAGTGACAGGTGCAGGTGATTCTAATTACAACACACCCACAATAACCAATAGTGACAAAGTGACAACCCAAACACATTCTGTGCACCTTCTCTGTGGCTTTGACCAGAGGTCGTTAAGGTTACCTCATTTTGTGATTCACTGAGTGCGTTAACGGACATGATAAACCCTTTTTCCTCCAAAATAATGGTTTAGTCATTGGTTTTTCGGTTTATTTTCTGGTGTTTCATGGACAAAGTCATACATTTCCCAGAAGGCATGGTTAGGTGGTAACAGCTTTTTTTTTTTAAACATTTCTTCATCTCAAACCAGAGATTGGAATCAGTAGAAAGACATTTTTAGTTTCAAGTCTGTTTTGAGTTTTTCATAATAATCAGCAAGGTCTTATCGCTGCTGTCTGACTACAGTCTAATGGCTTAAGTAGCGCCTATTAACTGTATGTTTTGTACATTAACAAAAAATAATAAATGTCCAACTAATAACTATTCATGAATGTTTCGCAGGTCTTTGTGTACTCTTGTGTGTAAGTGGACTTATTGCCCTTCTGAAGGATGGGACGCTGGTTTCTGGACGAGCATTGGACTGGAGGATCTCCTGGAGAACAACTATTCCAAAATAGGTAAAAGACATTGACTAAAAAGCTTCCTACTGATTGTATATTCTACCATTTTAAGAAAAACATCCACACAGGAGACCTTATTTGATTATTTAAGCTGTTTTCTGTCCTCCAGGCAACGTGACGTGTTCTCCAGGGAGCCCTCTGGGGGATGGCCTCTCCCAGGAGGCAGCAGCAGATTTGGGTCTAGAGACAGGAACTGCAGTGGGGGCTTCTCTCATTGATGCTCATGCTGGAGGCCTTGGTATTACATCTGAAACCTGTTTTTGAACCACTCTTCTCTTTAATTATACGTAAAATAGTCAACGGTTCTTTCCAGGTGACACAGCTTTAAGTTAAACATTTAAGCGGATATTTTGTGGGCATAAATGTAGACATAGTTGGGGGGATGGACAAGCTCATTTCCACAGCACATGGAATAGTCGTCAGTTTCTTGTGCAAAAAGAAAACAATTCTGACCCAAAGTCTAAAAACAAAGGGATCATTCAAAATCAGCATTTCTCAAACCTTTTTGTATAACGTACCTCCATTTGTAACATCCAGTCATTTAGCCTGTGTCTATTCCTCACCAACGCTGCTGTGTACTGTATCTGTTAGCACGTTGTTAGCTTTAGGGCTGACGTTCAGAACACCGCACCATCTGGTTTTGTTTTGGCAGATAAACTGCTCATGAACCCTGACCTCTGACCCCTGGCAGCGACCTCTGCCCATCACACATTGTCCTTTCAGTCAGAGGCTGAAACACTCTGAAGCACTTTCAGTGATCGGGCCTGTCACACCCTGTCACACAAGGGTGGATGAACCCTCCACCCTTAACTGAAACCAGCTTGATAAACATTATTTCAGCAGTTAGTGTCAGTGCCGCATGCCATGTGAAGGTTAGAGAAGCGCATCAAAAGCTTTTTTATCTGCAAATAATTTGTCCATGAACAGGAGTGCTGAGGACAAACAAACAAAAAACGTGTGTTTTACCCTGCAAAATACGTGTGATTTCCAGGTGTGATCGGTGCAGATGTTAAAGGCTTTAACTTGCCCTGTGAGCACCAGCCAATCACATCACGCATGGCGATGATCTGCGGGACATCAACCTGTCACATGGCGGTTAGTGCTTTACTTTTCACCTGCTGGAGAATGATCCTAAATAAGTGTTTTATAGAAATGGTGAGAACTCATTTAAAACATACAATAGCTTCTATACTAATACGCAAGTATGCAATTTATTCAAAGCAAACTGAATAACCCCCTTTCACATGATGATAATGAAAGGGCCAGTATTTGTATTTATACCATATTTATTCAGTTTTTCTTTTATTGTTATTGAAATTCAATTATACTATAGCTGTATATTGGACGAGTGATTCATTTCAATGCATAAATAGCTAATTATTTTGCCTTAAAATGCTTCTGTATTTATTAAATCTATTGTAAATGTTTAGACTGATGAAATTAATGTTTTGAGACCATTTAGTAGTTAGGGTTGGATTAGTTTCAGTGTATTTAGTTAGTGTTAGGCTTTTTTCAGCTTGTAAATGTTTCTGTTTAATACATGAACTCTCAATTTATATATGACTTAGTAATAAATATTGTATATTATTTTTGTTTTGTTGTGTAAATGATTAATCGTTTGTTTGTTAAAGTTGAAATTGTAGTTTTTTTGCAGCCTTTTACTTCAGCTGTGCTTATCTCCTTGTAGATTGCTCATTTGAATTTCTTATTTACGTGCATCAGATCAGCGAGCAGCCTCTCTTTGTGCCGGGGGTGTGGGGGCCCTGTCTGTCTGCCATGGTGCCGGGCATGTGGCTCAACGAGGGGGGACAGAGCGCCACAGGAAGGCTGGTCAGTGCACTGTTGAGCTTTATGCAGGATTATACTAACCAAAAACGGTATGAAGTAGACACAAAATGTGTGCAATCCCTGTTTGAATGTACACAAAAGACACCCAGACGTGATTCAGCCCTCTGCATGAAACGTAAAGCCTCACTTGTGCTTTTCGAATTAAAACATGTGGGTTGTTTTTGAAAATCTGAAGAATTAACCTCAAGACCTTTTTTATTAATTATATAATAAAAATTGAAGCAAAAATAGAGACAACCCAATGCCATTAAAGCATCAAATCATGCATTCTGTTATATTGAACTTTGATTCTAGATTCCCACATGTTATTTTCATGATTTCCTGATTTCCAAAGTCAATGATATCGCCTACCCTCAACATATCCGAGACTGTGAAAAAAATATCACCCTCACATTTTTTATTTAGGCAACAAAACAATTGTTTTAATTAAAAACAACAGTAACATTATGTAAGCAGACGGGCATTTGAAGGGTTAACATAAAAAAAAAAACTAATATTGTGTTGTTATCGGGACTGAAAGTGGTTAAAAGATTTAAGATGGTGAAAGTGGAATAAAATATTAATATTTGATATATTATTTTTATGTTTTGACCTCTAAGGACATCAGAGACTAACTTAAAGTGAGGCACAAGGGATCAAATCAGTCTGTTTATTTTTATAATATCAATTGAAGCTCTAGTTACTTTACATAGGAAACGGCAAATATTGTATACGGTAGTTTTAACAATGAATTGAATCAGCAGTTGCAGCATCACAAGCCTGTGTGTCATCAGCCGCATCATCTGTAATCCTCTCTGTGAGTCTGCTCTCTCCTCCCTCAGATGGAGCACATGGTGAAGGGCCACGCCGCCTACACGCAGCTCCAGGAAGAGGCACGGCACAGGTCAGCTGATGCTTTACTGAAGCGTCTCCCAAAAACATTCACAGCTATCATCCCTGTTCTGCTGACGTATGATAATGTTCTGTAAGCTTTGGGAAGATAATAAGCTTAGTGAGGTTGTGGGGTAAAGACCTAAAGACCCACTTGTAGTTGAATGACATTTCTCTTTTTTTCTCTTTAGGTATTGTGTTATTATTTCAGCATCTGTTCACGACTTTGTTGAATACATACCTTGAGACTTGGAATTATTTTTTGCATTTATTATGTATTCGTTATTTTCCCTTAATGTCTGAGGTCTTAGACCAAAAACAATGTTTCTGCTAACTTTGTTTTATTATTCTTTATCTGAAAGTAAAATATATTGAAAAATAAACATTCTGTGAAAGCTGCAAAAGTATTTAACGGTTTTATTTTCTAAACATTTACTTAAATTTAAATAAAAGTTGTAAATCATTTCAGGCAAAACACTTCTGATTTTACTACTGTGCATATTCTCTGCATTCACTTACTTGTTACTTGCTCATTTCCCCAGATTTCCCTTAAATGGAGAGAACCTGTACACCTACCTGAACAGCCACCTGAGTTCCATGGCTGACTCTGGATCTGCTATGGACCTGCTGGGCTCCAGCCTTCACGTGTGGCCAGACTTCCACGGCAACCGGTCGCCCCTGGCTGACCCCAACCTGAAGGGCATGGTGAGAGAACAGGCTAACTTCGCAAAAACACCACAGTAAGGCTCATGGTCAGTTCTCATCTCATAAAATACAAATGTAGACTATTAATGGATTTAACTGATGAGATAACTTGATCATATTTAAGCCTTTAGAAGAATTTTGGAACTTTGGACAGCACACGGCTAGCTGTTTCCTCTGCCTCTACTCTTTAAGCTAAGCTAACTAGCTCCCAGCTCCAGTTCCATACGTAAGAAAACAGACATGAGAGAGGTATCACGCAAATGATAGAACTAAACCCCAAAATATACTTTTATACTCTTCTTTTAAAAATACTCTAACCTAAATATATAATGTAATATAATCACATACAGTAAGCTAGCAGCTAATTACATCAGCTCACTTAGTAAAGCACCACAATCAATACTCATCTCATACAAAAATATAGATCTACTTCAGGATTTCACAGAAGTATAATCAATGCAAAGAAAAAACTTGAGATTATTTATGTGTTCAGTTATCTAATGATTATTTCCAGGCCAGTTCTGTATTTCCTGGAAGGGAGCTGATAACTGCTGCGTATTGTACTGAATCACTGCTGATTTCAGATACCAGAGCCTGAATGATGGCTCTGCTTTCACCCTCCCTTTTCTCTGCTGACTCCTACTCTTCAGCAGTGAGCCATTTTTGCTGGAATGACTCCTTACTGTTTCTCAGGTGATCGGGCTGCCGCTCTCCAGAACCCTGGATGACTTGGCTCTGCTATATCTGGCCACTATACAAGCCCTGGCTGTGAGTGTTTTTATTTGGAATCACTTCAGTCAGATATCTTAGTATCTAAAAGGGCAAAAGCAGGTTTGAATTGTAACTGGATTATCTTTGGATCGGATTTCAGCTTGGTACGCTTCATATTCTGGAGGCCATGAAGGAAGCAGGACATGACATCAGGACCCTCTTCCTGTGTGGCGGGTTGAGCAAAAATGCTCTGTATGTCCAGATTCACGCTAACGCTACAGGTAACTAGTAACAATGACAGGTTTTATATTGTGGATGACAATATATTAACAAATACATTTCATCCAAAATATTGAAATAATAATAACACAAACACTTTTTCGATCTCTATAATTTATTTTAAAGTGAATATATTGAATTACAAACGTTTGAACAGTAAAGGTCCCGAGGCCTTTAGCTAATGCCACTTTTTCGATTTTGTGTTTTTCAGGGCTGCCTGTGGTGCTGCCTGACCAGAAAGAGGCGGTGTTAATAGGAGCAGCGGTCCTGGGTGCATGTGCTTCACAGGACTACAGCAGCATACAGGTGGAGTGGCACACACACAGTTTGTTAACTAAAAGCATTCAAAGTGTAATGGCTTGCTTAGGCTTGGGTTACATTTGACACAGATAACTATCATTATATGAAAGAGTATAAGGGCTAGTGTGTTTTCTCAAAGTAATGTTGAGGCTCATAACATTATTACATTACATTACATTGCATTTAGCTGACACTTTTATCCAAAGCGACTTACAATAAGTGCATTCGACCAAGAAGATACAAACGTGAAGAAAACAGAATCATATAAGTACATCAGGTTTCATAGAGCTAAAACATTTCAAGTGCAACTTTATTAGTATATAAGTGCTTTGTTAATAGTTCTATCGCTCGAAGTGGAGTCGAAAGAGATGAGTTTTCAGTCTGCGCCGGAAGATGTGTAAGCTTTCTGCTGTCCTTATGTCAATGGGGAGCTCATTCCACCATTTTGGAGCCAGGATAGCAAACCCACGTGTTTTTGCTGATGGGAACTTTGGTCCCCCTCGCAGTGAGGGTGCAGCGAGCTGTTTGGCTGATGCAGAGCGGAGTACACGTGCTGGGGAGTACGGTTTAACCATGTCCTGGATGTAGGAAGGGCCAGATCCATTCACAGCATGGTACGCAAGTACCAGTGTCTTGAAGTGGATTCTAGCAGTTACCGGAAGCCAGTGAAGGGAGCGGAGGAGCGGTGTGGTGTGGGAACATTTAGGAAGGTTGAAGACCAGACGAGCAGCTGCATTCTGGATGAGCTGCAGAGGTCGGATGGCACATGCAGGTAGACCAGCCAGGAGGGAGTTGCAGTAGTCTAGGCGTGAGATGACAAGAGTCTGGACCAGAACCTGAATCCCTCCTGGCTGGTCTACCTGCATGTGCCATCCGACCTCTGCAGCTCATNATCCCTGAAACTGGCCCTCCCGCTGTACTTCTCGGAGACTTCAACCTCCAGACAGGGAAGATAGCTGAACTAACATCTCTTTTAACCGCCTTTGCTTTCTCACTGTCTCCATCCCCACCAACTCATAAGGCTGGCAATGTCCTTGATCTCATATTCTCAAGGAACTGCTCTACTTCTAACCTCTCTGTAAACCCGCTCCACACATCCGATCACTTCTTCATTTCATTCTCTCTACCCCTTTCCAAACATAACGAACTAATCTCTTCTAATTCTGCACCTGTCCGCCGCAACCTTCGTTCCCTCTCCCCCTCTACCTTTGCCTCATCGGTGGAGGAATCTAGGTGTGACCCTAGATAAGAAACTGTCCTTCACTGCAAATATAGCTGCTACAACCCGCTGCTGCAGATACACTCTTTGCAACATTGGAGGATACGTCCCCAGCTGACCCAGAAAGGCTTTCGTCATCTCACGCCTAGACTACTGCAACTCCCTCCTGGCTGGTCTACCTGCATGCGCCATCCGACCTATGCAGCTCATCCAGAATGCAGCTGCTCGTCTGGTCTTCAACCTTCCTAAATTCTCCCACACCACACCGCTCCTCCGCTCCCTTCACTGGCTTCCGGTAACTNAAAGACAGCGCATTCAAGTGTTTTAGACAGGAACGGGAGAAGAGAGACAGGCCTGTAGTTTATAACATCAGATGGGTTGAGAGTGGGTTTCTTTAGGAGAGGGTTTACTCTTGCCTCCTTGAGACTGTTTGGAAAGTGACCAGAAGTTAGAGAAGTGTTGATGAAATGGGTGAGAAACGGTAGAACATCAGGAACGATAGTCTGAAGGAGGTTTGAAGGGATAGGGTCCAGAGGACAGAACCTCACTTGGAGAGAGAGGGGAGAAGGAGATCAGTGTGTGAGTGAACGGTGGGTCTGGTGACCCAGTGGTGAGTAAAGGTGAGTCAGAAAAAGAAGAGTGAATATCATCCGCCTTTTTTTTAAAGTGGTTAGCAAAGTCGCTTGGAAGATGGGAGGAGGGGAAAGGGGCTCTGGGGGGGGGTAACATAACTCATAATATCAGGAATTAATTTCTGAGGTAGCTAAATGCTAAAGTATTGACAACTTTTAAAAATAATCATGCATTATCCGTCCAAGTGATGCACTCTCATTTTGTATATGGCTTTTAGAATTAAGTCAAAATAATTTCAGTAAATGCGCTAGTAGTTAAAATGTGAATCTTGAAATGTCAAGGTAATAGTCAGTATTTCAACTTTATTCTGAAAATGCCATCGTCCTTCTCTTCTTTTTTTTGTTATCCCTGACCGTAATAATCCATAAAGTATACTATACATGCGATCTCAATGAGCTTTCATGCAACTTCAGTCCAACAGGGGCCACTAGTGGTGAGTCATCATTTTAATAAATGCCTGGGAAACTAAAGGAGCAGTGGCTGATATATTTTTACTAGATTACAAGATATATTTGACCTTCTTTTTCAAAAACCTTTTCAAAAAATCACACAGATCCGCAAACAATTATGCATTATTCAATTACACATAAAAATGGCTCTTTGGTTTCTCTTTCACTTAAATCCAGTGTACATGTAGTAGGGATCCAATGGAAATACAATTCGACATCATGAATAGTCACAATGGGAATTTGCATTTGCTGTTTCATGCAAGTGGGAAAAAACAGTAACCTCATCCTCAATGAGAAAGGATGTACTGTTTTTTGTTTTAAACATTTGATCAAACCACTTTGTGTGTGTCGCATTAAACAGCTTGCTTCCAAAATGTTTGCAACACGTCCTACAGTCCTACATTTCCAAACTGGAAACTGGAAAAACTTTTCATTTTACTCCTTGCCTTCTAAATGGCTGTTTCTTCCATACTAACACCTCCAGTCTGTAATGAAGACCAGGCTAACAGTTGAATGTCATGCCAAACTGGAAATAACAACAGCTTTGTCTCCAGAGCCACAGCAGACGTTATCCGGTTGTTTCCACAGTCTGTAGTTCTCCTAATGAAGAGTAAAGTAAACAAGGGTGAAATAAGTGGCGTTCCCCTGTTAAAAAAAGGTGTTTATTTTGAAATGTATTTAGTAGTGTGCAATCCAACGTTCATATTTTATAGCCCTAATAAAGTTGACCTCAATATTCACAAAGCACAGATCTCACTATTGCTCACTCAATGCCTCCATCTGCTGGATAACACCCAAAAACTAAGTATAAAGTGATTCAGCCACACAAGTGTTTTTACTATACAATTGCCAGGATATACACAACAAGAAGAATAACAATACAATATAAGAACAATGCTAATGCACACACGAGAAAAAACTGTAGAAATAGGCTGCGGGAGGGACAGCGGTGTTCATTTATATCATTCATGTGTTTCTATTTAACACCATGTGTAAGCATGCATTCACAGGGATTTGGAGCAGTTTATTCAGAACATAAATATAATTTATTATCTTTATTATAATTACTATACATTTTATATCTGTATTTATGTACTTTTTAATACTCCTGATGGATTCCATTAGACTCACACAGGGTCTCAATCTTAACACCCAGAGTGAATTCTACGTGTTTTCACTCTGGGTCTAATGTCTTTCATGACAAAGGGAAACTGTTAGGGTGATTTAAGTCAAGGAATGACTTAAAGGTAGGGTAGGTAAGAATGGAGAAACCAGCTCGAGTGCGCTAGAATTTGAATGTACACAACCGGAAAAGATCTGCCTCTTCCTTCAGACTTCCTTACAGAGCCCCTCCTCCAACACACACGAACGCGCACATGACCAATGAGGGCACGAGTAAGTTTGTGCACAGATGAAAGGCTGACAGGCAGGTAGGCCTTCCAGTTATTTTAGGAGTGTACGTGGCAGTCTCCGGTGAGGGCTCCTTCAGTCGAGACGGTATCCCGGGACGCTAGAATCGACCTCCAAGGAGTAATGTCAAGGATAGCCACCCATTGATTGTACGTCTTGAAACAAGATAGAGAGTATTCTTCGATTTGGTTTTGTCTCTTTACTGTGTATAAGAGTAAGTGAGCTTTACTCTTGTGTTCTTAATGTAATGAATGAACTTGTTTTATGTACTTTTATCGTGGGTATACGTTGAGTTGGATGAGGGACTATCACTGTTGTCATATGGGGAAGTGGTTAGGAGTTCGTATGTGCTAAATTTGCTGTTTCTATTGGAAATCGGGATGTGGGATAACCCAGATAGGTGCTGTGTCTCTTGACCGCAATGTTGTCTTATTATGGTTTTGCTTGTGTCTTTTTTATCTTATTTCGTACTGCCAACCTTGTCACACTGACTTCACGACTAGTATAGTGCTAAAACAGTCGTTGAAATTTATTGGAGACTGAAACGGTATAAATTAGCCGTTTCGGTTTCAAAAGCGACATCTGTTATGTCTTTTCCGGTATATATGTTTGTTTGGTGCTCTGTTTCGTCTACGTCGGTTTCACATGGTTCGGTCCGATTGGCATTTTCCCGGACGGATGACTTAGTCGGATTTCGCCTAGGATTAGTAAGCAGTAACTCAGATAGAGTCCGCGGAATAGACCTGTACAGGTCGGAAAGATTGGCCAGGGTGTTGGTATGTATGATGAGGTATGGGCCGGCCACGAACGTCGTGTTAATAGAATGTGGAGGACAGCTGTCGAGTCGATCTAGGACAGACGAGACTAACCAATTTAGTCGACTTGGGTTCGACAACCCTATATAGCTCCCGGGGATCTCTACTAGAAGAATTTTAATATAGAGAAGGATGTATGGGTGGTGATAACAGTTGATTACCTCCGGCGGCAAGAGAGTTCCCCCTTACGCTCACGAAGTTCGATGGCAGGCTCTCCAGGGCAAGGGAAACACAATGAGGAGACGCCTCATCGGTATAGTTACTCGATCCAGTTCCTGGTTTTGTATGACTCCTCCTGTCGCTCCAAGTCTCGTCTGTCGTACTACGTGCTTCGAGCGCACTGATGCTCGTTCCCGTGTTACAGCGCGACGATACTGTCTGTCACGCTCAGTATTTGTTCTCTCATTTTTCCTGTAATTTCTACAGTTCAGTTAGATAATCCACACCAATGGACGGCTTGTGCGAAGATGGTCGTGGCTGCGAGTCTTTCGTGTTGAAGAGATGATTCTTGTGTCTTTCTCAGTTCATGTTTAGCGTACTCTGTGATTCCTCTCGCTGAGATCTGTGTCTATTTCTTCCACGTATTTCTGTCTCTATTCTCTTCCGCAGATCTGTCCATCTACTTCGGGTCTTCCCTCGTGATTATTTCTCCCCAACACACTCTGTCTCCCCGGTTTCTCCACATAAATTTTTCTTCTGGTATCCAGTCTCCCCGCTATTACCAACTAATAATCGAGTATTGATAAAATGCGATGTAACTAGCCATTCGGTGAGCATTGCTATAAGTGTGTCTGGTTATTGTCCCGATACGCGTTTTGCGTAGTAATGTACTGAAGTGGTTTTCTTATGTTTGAGTTACAATGAGTAGAGGGTTTGATTACTTTTGGGCACTTTATAGGAGAGTTTAGGTTCGTTGTCTCGAGCGGCAGTCCCAGCTTGTTGAAGGGGTGAAATCGGTAACGGCGTCTAGGCTTTTGTCGCGGGTCGGGTGCAGGTGATATGTTTAACCGTAACTTCTGTTTTTTTATTATTAGTGTCGGAGAGTTTATTCGTCTCACGGTGTACCATTTGGGTTTCTCGGTTAAATGTCCCGGCGCCGCACTTCGGGCTGAAAATTCAGTTTCGGTGTGTTTCTGTGTTGGTCTCCGTGCGGGCGACATCTGGGAGCGACATTGGGAAGACTAGTACTGTCTATGGAGACGGGTCGCGCGGACCGCGGAAGTAGGGTTTGGTTGTAGGGCACTACATCAGGTTTCTGCGAATTGCGAGATCGGTGCTGAATGTGGCATATGGAGGATTAGGAATATATGGCGACTAGTCGCCGCGGAGAGCTGTATCGGACCGTCTAGGAAGAAACTAGGATTAGAGGATTGTAAAGTAAAACACGGGTTTGACCATTGGCGGGAATTTGCCTGGTTATTGGCTTCTACTAGGTATCTTGAGCGGTTGGGACCTGGGAACATCGTGGTGTTTGGTGATTGATGGAGAGAGAATTGTAGGTGAAGTGGTGTGAAGTGCTTTACGTGGTCATATAGACGTGATACGCGTTGTTTTCCGCGATAAATCCTTTATGCCGGAGAGTGAGTCCTGCTGGTTCTTTCGCGGCTTAGTTCTCTATTATGTAATGTCCTTCATCCATTCTGGCTATATCAACGAAACGATCTGTCAACGGATAAAAAGCGCATATACTCTGGTATTAATTTTTTCGCTTCTATCATACGGTGTGGCCATCCTCTAGTTAATGGTGTGGACCCTGGTAGGTCCCTTCATCATTCAGTAAATCAGGATCCTTCGTTTTCTGTCCGCATTATGGTGGCTCGATACTGTAATTTCGATTCCGTTATATTCTAGGTTGTTGGAGGTATTAAAATTATTGTGTGTATCGTTAGTCCTGTTTCACTGTTTACAAGTCTGGTATGGTTTGTATTATTTTTTGATGTAATATTGGGCATTTGTAGTCGTATCTTATTTTTTACCAGACAATGTCATTTCGTAAGTCTTAGGCTTTTGGTTCTTCTGGTGAGTATTTGTCCCTTTGATACCCTTAATAATGTTGTTTATCTTACTTATTACCTTATTTGAGTGATATGTCGATATGGTGAAACTTGATAAGCATAGTAGGAAGTTAACTTCTACGCTTTGGAAGTGGATATCTGTCTTATGATGTTCAATTTTTTTTGTAAACGGGTCTCGGGATTTTGGTTAACTCGATCGGTTGTATATTGCTGGCACCGGCTAGTTCCCGCATGTCAACAGTGAGCTTTGTTGAATACAATATATTGCGTACCGTACGGAGGATTTGTAGTGGCAGGTCCTTCATGAAGTCGCGGTCGCTCAAGGTGTAACGAAACGTGTAGGCTTTTATTGTTATTTGTTTAAAGCAGTGCAACCGGGACGCAATGTTTCGCCTGTCGCTCGGTCCCCCCCCTGCAGTTTTTTTAGACT